CCCTGAATATGTCAAATAGCGAATGTCTCTTTCAAGACAAAATTTCATGACTTATTGCACCGCATGTTTTCTCATAGTTGCGTAAGGGTGCCGTTTAAATAGACAGCATTGCCATGGCATTTGAACATCTGAAACTGATGAACCTATCATCATTTTATACGCCAGAGCCACCTCGCACTCATCATGAACGAGTAATTCAGCTGTCTGTATACCATATAATGCTATTTTAGAGACATCATAAACTGTTTATATGCCCAATTGCGCGAAATAAACAGTAACTTCACCAAAACAAAATTTCACAGCGTCTTACATCGCCCCTCGCTCCTAGTTACGTATGATGGCCGCTTCTACGAACTACATCTTTATGGCGCTTGACTAACAGATCCGGCGGTACCAGATCCAACTTGCATCAATCCGTTCGGTTGAGTCTTTTCAAACTCACCATGAACGGTGGTTCAGAGGCTGGCATACCCACTATACTAGCGCATATGCATCGTAATCTGCTGGCGCGCATTAATATGTCAAATAACGAATTATTTCTTTGAGATCAAATTTAACGGTGTATCGTCCTGGTTTGACATTAATGACTGCCAAAAGAAACAATGTGAACTGTTCAATCCAAAAATTATGTCAGGCAACGAATAGCTAATTCAAAACCGGTTTTTACCGCGTACTGCACCGCTTTATTCTTAGTACTATCATGTGGTGACTACATTTATCACAGTTCCATGGCATTTGAGCAGTGCAATGTCAAGTACATCTCGCATCATACTGCCCGGTAAAGCTACATCAAACCTATCAAAGCAACGCTTCAGCAGCTAGTACAGCATATGTGCTACCTCATAAATATCATATGTCGTCCGTACTTTAGGACATACATCGACGAAGTAAAATGTGATTTGCAGGTTGTGTTTTGGTCATACTATCGAAAGGAATGAAGTTTCACTTTTTGATTCATCAGTGGAAAAGTGTTTTCGTAAATTTCAGTATGGCATTTACTGTGATGTATAACTTATATTTTAAGTTTGTACTGATTTTTTACTCAATGTAAAGGCGCTATCGTTTTCGTAATTGTCTAGTCTTGTTCTGCCAACGGGTAATGTGTGAAATTTCGTCGGCTATTTTATTTGAACCTGGTGACTTAACTGCTTAACATTTGACAGTGTCATTTTGCGTTCGAATACATAGCACCTCCTGTCCGAAGGTAACGAGCAGTTAGAATTTGATTGCAAGGTTCTCTTAGCCTAAATGCGAGTAGATTTTGCTGGCTGTGCAGCTTGTTGTTTCAGCTGGCCATGTAATGTGATTGGTTTTCTTAACATTGTTGCCACCCGAGGATTTTCAGCACTCAGTGCCATGGTAATATCGGGAAACGAATATTAAACATTAAAGCAGCCGAATGTGTGGTCATTCGTAATCCAGTTGTTCTGCGCAATTCAAGAATTCTAGAACAGGGATAGAAGGCAACTCAGAATATTGTCATACTTGGGACCCTGAAATCAGAGTATGATGCAAATGATACGGTTCTAGACTCGCTGCAAACTAGCCATAGGCTAATCGTGTCAGGCTAATCATGTCAGGCTAATCGTGTCTTGTGAAATCTATGATGATCTGGGAGCTTAATGACCAGCAACGAATGTGCAGGTATGAATCGAGAAGATCGAACCGATGAATAAGAAAAAGAAAAAGACGTAGATCTGCCATGAGAAATTCCGGAATTGAACACTGGTGCTGCCGATAACTCCCATGAACTGGAAGTCTGAACAACAGCACCGTGTAAATATGTACATTTATATGCAACTATTTCTTTTTGCATGGAGCATTTATGTGAGTAAAATTTAATCTAACAGTATGTTAATAAACCTATAAGCAGGTTTGATTTTCTGCCTAAAAGTTTAATCTGAAACATTCAAGGAAATTCGCCGCTACTTAGTCCTGCTCTAATGATCAACCAAAATAAGTCACTACATTTACGCAAGCAAAAACTCACTTAAAGAAAGGAAGGGAAGTTTGAAAACGTTGGAATATTGGTCTTCTTTACACTTACATGAAAGAGCTAATTCTAGGACCGTTGTTTTTATGAAGTTAACTGTGCGGGCGCTGATCTTCATTTCTGTCATCATCCAGGACTTCCTTAGGTTTAAAACCAGAATCAACAGTAGATGTGTGACAAGCATAATCTGTATTTACCTGTTTCCTTCCCACTCATATTGGTACTCATTTATCAACTTCGATAGAAGAATAAAGGCGAGTGACCCCAACAGAGGCTCATACCCAGAATTTTGCTTCCGAGCAACTCCGGTTTAAAGGCAATACATGGTGAATTCGTGATGATTGCCTGCTGCAGCACCTCGGGAGTTCGAAGCCGACTCCAACCTCTTACGCAATATGCTACGGTGCAACACATGGCTATGCTCAGCGCAACTGGTTGCAGAATTTTTTTGCAGTTCAGTTACTGGGTTCGAATCGGTGCGCGATGTAAAATTTTCTTTGAGCAGGAAATTAACCAGTTGTGTCAGAAGCCGAGAAACGAATAGTAAGTTGTTCTACGAGTTATATGGATAGCAATCTGCTTAGAGAAGTCATGCTAGAGTATGTCGGACATAAGATTATGATTTCTGATAAGTGTTTTGTGGCTCCAATTCGCCTGATAGCTGAGTAATAATCAGCACAAAATTTCCTCTAAGTAAGTTTGGTGAACAAGTAGTTGCGTAAGTTGCGTGAGCTTTTCATTTGCGTGTTCTGTCCGTTTGACTAAGTTTCGACTTTCACAAATGACTGGGTTTGACTTCTGAATGTTCATCTGTTTCAACTTTGAGGTGTATCATTTTTTCTTCGATCATTTGCCCTGCAACTCAACTCTTCGAACGTCGTAATTTTGCCGTCATAGCGACCAGGTTAATTCACATGAATCGTAGGGCATTGCTTGTTAGTGTGACCATTTTCCCGTCAAATATGCAACAGTACGAAATTTGTGTACCGTATTGTACCATACCATAGTTTGCATCGTTTCTAGCAGACGATCATGCTTGGCAAATATATTCATGGGTTGCCTACCTTTGCACCATAATCTCATTTAATGTACTTGATTTGGCGTTTTTCTGCTTGTCTTTCATGTAGCTGTGTAAACGTCATGTCCGATGATATGTCTATTTCACTTATTTTGGCAGACTGCAACTGCTACTTTCTGTAGTAGTCTTCTAATGTTTGACGTTTCTCAGCCAACTACCTGTCTTCATTCAGATGTCTCAAATACTGACTCCTGTATTGGTCATCCTTCGACAAACTTCAGGATTAAATTGTGCTGTTTGATAGGTCTAATGGCTGACGGGCGACTCTTCCTTTTCTAGCATTATCATTAAAAGCTATGGTACGTTTCAACGATTCGATGTCATTTGTGGTCTATTGTTCAGGTGCAGCCATATTCATAACTTAATTGTAGTAGCGGCATTGTCAGCGGTCGAATAGTGCTTTCGCTCTTCTAACATCAGAAATCTGACCTATACATCAACATCTGCAAGGAGTAGATCCGTATCGCTTACTCGATCGTGCGAACGTTAAACGGAAATGACAGTCTGGATGACGCCTTCCATACAGCTGAGCGATATCTCCTCAACTTTTTTGCCCTCTCAGAATTTCATTTTCCCGACCAGGTAGAAGATCGCCTGGAAAACAGATGGCAGCTTCATTTGTCTGGGAAACTAGGATTCCAGACGCGAGTTAGGAGTGGCATGTTGCTGTCGCCACTAATAGCCGCGAGTAAAGCTGTGGTCTCCTTCGTGTACACGACCCACCGGATGCTTGTTTGCCGTTTTGCAACAAATCACGGGAAGGTCAACGCTGTTGTCGTGGACGCCCCCACCAATGTCACAGACGATCTGAGGAAGAGCGAATTCTACTCGTGTTTGCATGCAATTATCAGTTCTCTTACACACCATCAATTATCCATCGTCGCCGGTGACACGAATGCGCTGATCGGCACAGACAATTCCAGCTGGCGTCATGTGATGGGGCCATCATGGCTCCGGGAAGCTGAATGACAACAGAGCTGTTTCCTCACCGTCATATCCATCACCTGACGTGGACTGCGCCAGGTGACCGCCTCAGGAGCCAACTGGACCACATATTGGTCAGTGTCTTTCACTACACCCGGTTATGATACGGAGCTGACATCTACTCGGACCAGTTAATGGTGGTCGAGTCCTGGAGAACAGCGCAAAAGAGGCGAACACCAGGTTCAACACCGGTAAGTTGAAAGATCCAGAAACTTGCGCACCGTTCCAGGACGAGATAAGCGGTGGAGTTTAATGTCTGAAACGATTGAAGATTTCATATTCAAAGTTTTATAGGTTAGAAACTTTCTAACATTTTACAGGCTCAGGATAAACTCCTGTGAGTGAGCAGAATGAAACAGTTTCCTCAGTTCGCTTCTTTTTTATATTCATTAATTTTCGTTGTGTCTAACGACTGCAACTGTAATCCCGTTACCTGTGTTCATCTGATAGTTTTCGCATACTGGTGGTCGATATTGGTAAATATCATATAAC